TTTCATGTAAAGGAATCTATACTCCTAGTTCATATCTTAATTTTAGTTTTATGGACTAGTTTATTTACCCACATCCGTCCTTGATTTGGGAACCCTTGCCTATTTAACACTGCACCTGGGTGCTAGTTCAACTGCCCTTGTACACTTGTCACTGTATTCAGGCCATACAAGATGTCGCTTCCAAGGGACGCTCTAATATTAACACTTCTTAAGAGATTCATGTCATTATTATTTGACAAGTTTTATACTGGCTGTCGACTACCTGATGCAACTCTCCATTTTTCTCATCTAGGACTTGGGACTTAGTAATTGCAGTGTTTAAAATGACTATTGACGAAAAGCAAAAATCATTATGCTAAAATCCATAAATCAATAATAGTACGAGAACATAAATACATTAATAATCAATAAATCAGAATGTTAGGGAACAACATATAATTATTTTAATCATATATTCAATATTATGAGTCTATTAGAGAGGTGAATCATGAACGTGCATGAGTCATATCAGTAGTGTTGCCATATACCTAGTATAGCCATCTATATAATCTATAAAACCATGACACTGTTTACTCATGAATCAATTATATGCCATCAATATCATAAAGTTTAGCAATAAAAAATCATCCAACTTTAATGTAATGTTTTCAACACCTTTAACCCTAATTGTTTTCTAATTGGTTAACAGTTATGGCCATCATATTTATCTTTTTTTAGTAAATTAATTATCATTACAGGTGTTTTTCAATAATCTATAAATATTCATCAATTTCTACCTGTTGGCGTAATTATTGAACACCCAAATAATGAATATGAAGCGAGTTAGTATAGGGATCTTTTATAAAATATGTATACCATTGATATTAAGAATAAATAAAAAATTTCATAAGACATCTAAAGAAGTTAGTAATCTACCATAATTGTATGTTTTATATCTTCCAACAAACTTATTTTTTATAATAATTATATTGTGTCAAGGAAATTATTTTTTATTTTAAGAATTTGGAAAAACTCCCATCATGCAATTGGGCATGCATTGTGTGGAGAATTAATATATATATTTTTTGCTTTAAAATGATTTCTAATTAAATAAAAATTAGATAAGTCACTTAAATACATCAATGACTTAATTTAGCTAATTTTATTAAGGGTTTATGAATCAAGTTCAATTTTTATTTTTATTTTTTTGTTCAAATATTTATATATTTGATTATATTACTACATTAACTCTAGAGGTCTTTTAATTGAAGCATATTAACATGAATGATCTATACTCAAAGCATTTAAGAGGCATGTAGAATTTTTTTTAATTTTAAGGAAATTTCTATTTGTCTCAAATTTATAGAGCAAACTAGTTAAACATATGTTAATGTTATTTGTTTATACTATTTTAATATTTATAATTACACTACCTTAGTGTTATACACTTAGGATTCGTTTGGGACAGCTTTCTTACTGCTGCTTAAAGCAGTTTTCTAGTATAAAAAATTAAAAAATTTTATTAAAAAGTTGTTTTAAGAAGCAGCAAGAAAGCCATTCCAAATGAAGACTTAAAGTATAATTTTATTTAAAGGTATTTAATTATTTTATTGATATTTAGAAGTATGATGTCAAGTTCTTTTTATAGGGTTGTGGGCTTTTAAAGCAGCCACCAAATTAACGCATCATTCAAGAGGGGTGCATTTCATTTCAAGTGGCATATTAAGCAGTGCTAAATATAATTCTCACCCTCTTAGAAGGACATTATTTTTCTAGTTTAATGAAAAGTTTGATGCCTTTGATATTAATAATTTACCACCCTAAGATATTATTATGTTCTCTTAACATTATCAACTACTTATTTTCTTGTCCCTAATTTACCTTTGCTAAAATAATGAAAGGTAAGGTGAAAACTTCTCTCATAAAGGCATATTGTAGATGCTCAGAGAACTATCTCAATTCAAGAATTGAAGAATTGATGGCTTCTCAATAGATTAACGAGGCTTTGAACTACTTGTTGTAGATCTTTGGATGATTTCCTTATGAACATAGGCATTACTTTCTCTGAACATTTGACATGTTCCATAACCTCATGCTCATTAGTGAATGTGATCCAAATAATAGAAGTTAAAAAGGGCATCCTTTGAAAAATCAAACTATTCAATCTACTAAGTATTCGATATGACATAGTTGTTGGTCCTCAGTAATGGGCACTTCATAAAATTTATATAAGATTGACACGTTTAATTAGAAATAAGATGTCACTATACTCCTTAGCAAATATTCTTCTTTTTTCTTCTTATTTGATAAAATATCCTTTGTGAACTTGATTTAGCTCGACATATGCTCTTGCGAGTAAGTAAATAGGATATTAATGTGTAACTTTTTGAACTAGTCCAAGAACTTAGAGATTTTCTTGTTTAACTTCTGCTATTAAAAACACTTAGGGAACTATATGTCAATGGGATATAAGGTGGCAGATTGTATGTGAAGAACTTTGACTTAGGCCTTGTGTCCTTATCATTACCCTTCAGCTTAGCTCCAAACAATTCAAAATTGGGTTATTCTATGATTAATGGCTCAGCTTGCTTATTTCCATTTCTCAAAGTAACATAGGTTACATGTTCCTATGGATTGGTTTTTGTATTACTCAGGAGAATATTTGTATTTGATGATAAGCTTTGACATGCCAATATGCACACACTCATTAAACGTTATAGGATTGAATTAGTAATTGGCTTATCAAAGTTGGAATTCTCAATTGACCATTTTTGTAATGATTGTGATATAAGAATACAAATAAGAATATATTTCAAAACAAAGAATCTTATTTTAACTTCTAAACCTCTAGATTTTTTGCACATAGACTTATTTATATCAACTATCCCTAATACGTTAAGAGAAACACTACAACTAGGTGGTTGTTGATTATTATTCTTTCATTTGACATCCTATTTCAAGAACCATTCAAAACCTCTATCAACTTTAACGCTCGAATTATAAATTAATTAATAAAGGACTACAATTAATCCCATTGACTCCTAATGAAAATACATCCAAACTTTTGTTTTCACTTGATGCATCTAAAATGAAACAAACCCCTCTTTCCAATTACCCATTACTCAACTTTTATCTCAAGTCCATAAAATCTCCTTAGATAAATTCATATATGGCTATGAACAAATCCTTAGATTATGTATGATTGACTATCTTTCTTGATTAAATAGAATCTATATATAATAGGCCGAGGGTAGTTCAAATGTTGACACCATGAGCCTTGCTATCACATTATAGAGTTTTGATGATTATAGACATAATTTGGTTGAGATGATTTTGGTCAAATTTAATTTTGTACAAAGCTTATATACTAAAAGAGTCTAGATGCAAGTAGAATGCATAATTTTGAAACATACAAATATTTACGTGGGGATTATGGCTCACGAAGAAAATGCCAAGCTAAAAATTATCTAAAGCCGAAGTTTCAGGGCGAGCCAATACAATCCAAATTGATAGTTGTAGTCTAAATTAGAGTTATATTTTTCATTTTATTGGAGTCATTTATATATGTTTCAAATAAAAGGATTGATGATAAAACAAATAAACACTCACACACACGAGAGTGAATTTATTAAAAAGTTACTTACTTTTTAAGTACAAATTGATCAATAGATTGTACTACACGATGTTCATTTTACTATATGATATATTCTTATTTTAGAGAATATAATCAAATCAATTTGTATTATTTTAGATATATTCAAAAATTGATTTGGATGAACTAATCATATTAATACAACATATATCATATTTTTCAATCAAGTCTAAATTCAAAGTTATAACTGTAATAAAATCTTGCCTTAATTAGATTAACAATTGAATTGTTCATATTGAATTATGCATATCCTATTAAATGATTAGTTTTCTAATTTAATACAACTAAGCAACTTGAATTAATGGATGATTTAATATGTACCAAGTTCAACTAATTGTACTATAAGATGCATGTTGAACTACACGATCAACCAAGATTCCATTTTCATAATTTTTTTATGATATAAATTATACTATATGATGTATATTAAATTATAAAAAGATTCCATTTTTGCAAACGGGTCAATTTACCGGACCCTAACCAGATCCGCTTCAGGTCCGGGTCAACCCGACCTGACCTGGTGCCAACAAAAAATGCTAGTTTTCGGTTCCAAAAATGGGTCAATATCAACTTTTCGGGTAAAAAACGGAACAATCTCGGGTTGCCGGGTCAAAAATAAGCTTTCGGGTAAAAAATATGTCAATATCGGGTCAACAGGTCAACCCAAACCCGACCCGATTTTTGAAACGGGTCGAATTGTTGAACTCGAACCCAACCCATTTCATGTTCCGGTCAACGCAAACCCGAAATTTTGACTGGTCATAAGTCCAATATTGACACCCCTAGCTTTGATCATCCAAGACAATGTGTCAGAATGAAAATTCTAGCATTTATGTTTACCTTAATATGGTTTGTTGGGGGAGAGAGAAAAGCAAGACTCTAAGGGACTAGAAAAATATGTTGTGTAGGAATGTAAGTGAGCTGCTCGAACTTGACTCATTAATAAGCTAATGAGTTGAACTTATTTAGCCACAGGTTCGAGCTTAAATTCGAGCGCATATATTATACGTATTTGAGCTTGATTTAGCTTGAGATTAGGGTCGGGTTAAATTCAAGTTGGATCTGAACCTGACTAATTAACCTATTTTGATACCCTACATTTTTCACATGAGCCAAACTCGAGCTCAGCAAATGAGCTTGAATTCGACCTAAATATGAAATACATGATGTTAGCTCGATTAAGCAAGAAACCGACTCGTTTACACCTTAATGTAATGTTGTGTGAATAAATAATATATGATTATACTTGTTTATATATATGTTCATGCTAATATTTTATTCCGGAGCCTTGTACCTGCAACTCTGGCCAAAGACCGTATGATCTCCTTCAGCTGCCACTTCCTTCTTACAATCTTTGAAAATTGAAAGAGCTGGGTTTGAGAGTCAAACGAGTCTCGGGCTTTAAGTTAATCAAGGTGATGGAGAGTTCCGAGCTTCAAGAGATCTGGAGAAGGGAGCTAGGTCTCTTACGGCCTCGATCTTTTGCTTGCCGGGTCGGTGGTTCCGAGGTTCGAATGAAACGTTTTATTGTTATTTGCAGCCTTCTTATCAATCCGAACTGGAAACACCCGACTATATCGGAAATTGCACTGTTACGAGCATGGAATGATTAAAATCCACAGGTGATACTGTGGGGTTTTTGAATTCATCAGGGTTTAGCTTTCATTTTCTCCTCCATCTGTTTTAAACAATGTAGTCTTTAGTTAGATGATCAGAAAAGCCATTTTTTTCTTGGCGATAGTTTTGTTCTCTATTCATTTGCTTAATTCAAATCATTTTTTTGCTCACAAGCTGTGAAATAAGGTCCTGGCTTTTACTTCAAAATTAACCCCCAAGTGTTGTCTGGAATACAATATATAGAATCTCTTATGCAAGACATAAATGCAAAATGATTTGATTAAGAAATTTGCATGCTTAAATTTTTAAAGAACAATAGTAAATAAACTTATATTGATTTTATGCTATAAGAAAAAACAATAAAACGATGAAACAAGCTTAGTCCAAATCACATGTGTAGAAATTAATATCCTAAAATAGTCAATTACTTCAAAAAGTTGCATACATGTGATGGCAAAAGCTTGATCTTTTTGCCCTCATGTTCAAACACACAGGTATTTGAACGCCCATAGATGTGGACATCATTGTCAAATAGTAAGGGACGACCTAGAAGGATTTGTCCAATATTCATAATCAACACATCACACCAAACATTCTTCTTATAGTCAGCGAAGGAGATATGTATGAAGCTTCGTTCCTTTACCTCCAAGGCAAATGTGTTGACCCAAGCTACCTTATAGGGGTTGGGGTGGGGAACGAAAGACAAGCTAAGCTTAGACATCATGCTGGAGGAGACAACATTGATGCAGCTGCCACTATCCACGACGACTTTAAAGTTTTTATCATTGATTTTGGTGTAGGTGTGAAAGATTGCAGTCCTACGCCAGTCGTTGGTGGCTACGGGTTGTGACAGTGCACATCTCACTACGCCGGTGGGAGAAGTGTCAACTTTCTGAATGTACTGGACAACAACAGTGTCGTCATCCTCCTCAAAGAATTCACTATCGTCTTCCACTTGGTGAATCTGGTCGACTTTGGGATTGAATTTTTCTTCAGTGATCTCTTCGATAATCGTGACTTTGTAGTAGGGCTACAAGCGAACCAAACGTTCGAAGAGCTACTCGATGCTTGGTTTGATTAAAGCTCGTTTTTGATCGTTTAACTAATTAAACAAACAAACTTGAACAACAGTTTAAATACTCGATCCTTAAATAAACAAGCTTGAACACTAATGTGTTCAGTTCATTTATGTTCACAAACAACATCATTTGAAGTTCGTGAACAAGCTTGATATTAAGCTCGATGAAAAGCTCGATAAAAAGCTCAATAAAAGCTCAAATGGAGAGAAATGCAACAGGTAAGCTCCATTTAAGAATATATTTATATAGATTAATCATGTTTTCATTTTAAATAGACAACTGTTTTTATTATAAATTTAATTTTTTGAACAAAATACATTTCGCATTTGTCTATGTTTTCTAGATTGTTTGTTTAAGATGTCCATGAACAAATTTAATGTTTGTTTGTTCAATAGATTATTTGTTAAATATGTTCATGAACATAGCTCGTTAAGGTTTGCTTGTGTAAAGCTTTATAAGCATTAAATGAATCGAACATGAACTGAACATGAACCAAACATGAACTGAACATGAACCAATGAACCAAACATGAACTGAACATGAACCAAACATGAACACAAAACATAAAGCTCGAATCAAACATGAACCGAACTTGAACAAGCTAATGATAAATGAACTCAAACATGAACACTCACATACTTGGCTCGGCTCGGTTCGTTTGCAGCCCTACTTTGTAGGGACTAGAGCACTGATAAGCGATATGCCCATACTCTTAGCATCTAAAGCACTTGGTCCCGAGGTTGGACCGAGGGGTATTTGGAGTGGGAGGTTTACTTTTAACATCAGGACGAGGGGTGGGGGGACCTGGCGAGGGTCGGGTAGTGTTCCCTAGGATCGGCTGAGCAGTGGAGGTGTGAGCAGTGGTACTACCGGAAGGTCTGTAGGAAGGCTTAGAGTCGTGGTGTCGACTAGGGTGTTGGGAACAAGTTTCCTCCAGGTCCAACACAAAATTGTAGGCATTTTCAAGGGTAGTGAGGTTTCAGGTAAATAGTTCATTACGAAGATCCTCTCGCAACCCGATACAAAACATGGACATAATCTACGCGGGGGTAGTGGAGGTCTCCCATTTGTAACGAATCAGATAATCATCAAAAGATGTGATGTAATTCTTGACCGGTTTGTTGCCCTGAGTCAACCTATTTCACCTATCCAAGAGCCTGGGGAAGTACGAGGGAGGCAAGTACTTCTACTTGAGCTCACACTTCATTGATGGCCAATCAGTGATGAGATACTCATTACGGGCTTCTCTAAGGCTTTCTAAGTTTGACCAAAGTTGACTAGCCCTACCTGTGAGTTTCATCTCGGCAAAACTAACCTTCATAGCTTTGGAAATATTATACCACTTAAAGAAGCTATCTATACCTTTGATCCAGTCCAGGAAAAGCTGGGGATTGAGAGTCCCATCAATGGTTGGAGCATCGACCTTAATGTTCTTCATCAGGGTATGTCAGGATCGTAGTTAAGGTTATGTCTGTATTAGGGAGCTTCATGAGAGGCACGAGGTGGTCCCTCATCCGGAAATTGATCGTCCCCGTACATGGAAGGAGATTGAGACAGAGTGTAAGGAGTCTTGGTGGTTCCTACCTTGATCTAAGGTATCAAATTGGTCAGTAGTAGTTCTACAGAGTTCAGCGATGTCAGCCTGGTTTTCTTTGAGTTGCTGGCTAATGGTGTTCATTAGACATACCAACAAGTCTAAGTCCTGCCGAGTTGTTCTGAGTCCATTAGGATACGCTACAAGATACTAAGGGTTGATGGGATGTAAAGAACAACACTTATACTAATGGGAAACATACTTGGGACTTGCAACATGATGCAGAAATTGAATGGACAGCAAACAAACAATGTGTTGTTTCAAATGGATGCAATGTTAAACAACTAATGAAACTTAAAGATGGATGGTTAGAACTCTAAGATGAATCATAGTACATGCAACTTGAGCAAACCATGCTCTGATACCAGATGATGCAGGACATAAATGCAAAATGACTTGATTAAGAAATTTGCACGCTTTAATTTTTAGAAAACAATAGTAAATAAACTTATATTGATTTTAAGTGAGAAGACAAAACAATAAGGTGATGAAGCAAGCTTAGGCCAAATCATATGCATAGAGTTAAGATCCTAAAATAGTCAATTACTCAAAAAAGTTGCGTACATGGAAGGTTTTCATCAAAAATCCCTTTGCTAACAATAAGACTAGTCACTATGCAAGGTTCCCTCACTCATCTCTCTAGATCACTAAGCTTTAGCGGAGGAGAGTAAACATGAACTTTGTGAATCAAAATATAACCACAAATGAAAATAAACTTGGAAGATAGGGAACTTGGGGAAGAGTTCACCATAGTCAAGTTCTTAGGCATGGTTAGAGGTGAGCGGAGGAAGCTCCGAAGTGTGGCGGTTGTCTTGACGACGCTCTGCGGTTGGACAGCCGGTGGAGTCTTCTAGGCAGCAAACGGGAAGTCTCCTGGATGGCAAAACAGTGCTAGAAGACTGCGGGATTTTCTGGACAGCAAGAGAAAAACCTGGGACAGCAATCTCCAAGTTCCTGGGAGGGCGGGCTGTCATTGTCAAACATCCAGAATTTTCTGGACTGCAAGGATGTTGGTCTTGGACAGATTCTGGACAGCAACCTGGATCTATTTGGACAACAACGCTGCAGTTTCTGAAGTTCTGGGCAGCAATTACCTATTCCAAAATTCTCGGCAGCAGTTGTTAAAGGAGCTAGGATGCTAGAGATTTATGTGGACCAAAGAAAGGGAGGAGTAATTATGTTTTAGTGGGCTAGGGAAATCAATTGGGGAGGGTAAGGGGGAGATTGACTCAAGACAAGAGGGGATGAGGGAGCTAGGGCCGGCGGCATCATGAGGGAGGTGGAGTTAGGGAGGCTTTAATTAGTTTCCTAAATTAAAGCTGATTAAATTAAAAGAAAATTATTGCTCATATCCCCTTTAATTTAAATTCCAAATAGATTGGCTCTATCTAAAGAACTTTCCAAATAGGTCGGGAGGAGGAAAGGAAAGAAGTAAAGGGGAGTTTGAATGGGACGGCACGTGGGGGAAGAGAAGAGGCTGGCCATTAATAGGAAATATAGGGTCTTTAATAGATTGCCAATCAAAGCCAACTTAAATTAGGAAAGGGGTCTTGAATTATTCTTTGATTGGAATTCATATTTTTATTATGACTAGATTGGAGGAGACTTTCCAAAAATAAGCTATGAGATTTAGGAATGAATTCAAATCCTTCCCAAATTGGTAACATAGCAATTTAGGAAAGTAACAAATCTTGGAGGGGGATTGGAAGGGCCGGTGTCTAGGGTGTGGAGTAAAAGACTGGCGGTTATGGGGTGGGGCTTGGGTTGGCTGGTGGTGAGAGGTCTTGGAAGAGGCCGACAGTTTTGGGAAAATAGCTTGAAGTGGAGGCCGGCGGTTTTGTGGTTGGGAAACCCTAAGCCAACTGTAAGGGGGGAGGGAGGAGGAAAGACAGGATAGAGAATAAAAGAAAGCCATGAATCCGAACTCTTCCAAGGTTGGTGGGTGATCCGCTCCCCTTTCCAAGGGATTTTTCTCCAAAGACTCTCCAATCTCTTACAAAAATTCAATACGCAGAAATTTTATTATCATTCATCCATTAACCTCAAAAGAAATACATGGGACTTATATATAGCCTCATACAATGAAAGGGAAATAAATGACTACATTGCCCCTAGGGCGCACATTCGACAACGCCCTTAAGTAAGGGCAAAATGAGAAAAGCTACTAAAACAAATACATGAAGAAAATAAATAAAATAAATAGATATGAGTACTCAAAAGTAGATCGGCGCGATCATGGCCGTCGATCGTCAGTCACGTCTCTGAAAGACCTTTCATGATCTGATGTCCGCATCAATCTCTCTCAAGAAAGGTTTTTGAAGCGAAGGTATTTAGAATCTTTATCATGCTTAGTGAGGTTTTTTGAGTGTACAATTGTTATTCTTTGTTAGCATGTATGTGTGATCATATATGATACAATTCTTGTCTTACTTCCTAGAGACTGTAGTGAACAATCTACCTTTTATTTCATATCTCAGTTAGCATTCTTCCGTATGGTCCATATGAATTTTACACTTATTGAATACTGTCAACTGCTTCCATATTTTAGAAGTTGCATATTCGTGCTGCAGTTGCTGAATTCATGGAATTCTAATAAAATTTTTGGAAAACCATCTGGTTTTTAACATTTTAACTTTGTTTTGAAAGTTCAATAAATATAATCCAATTACAGTAGTTCACCAATTGATAAAAATGACTTAGTGATGTGAAAAACCAATTGAATTGACATGGAATAGATTAATTATCTGTGTTTGTAATACATAATCAGTCATCGTGATTGTTCCTCTACTTATTGTTTGCGATTTGGTAAGACCATTTTTTTGTCGGGTGTGCAACAGTTATCTGACCTCCTTTGGCATTAAACCTTGTGAGGAGAATCATTCATGGACTTGCACATATCCAGGAATAAGTTCTGTACTGTAAGGAACAAGAGAATCAAGGTCAATTTCGTTTTGCTAAAAATTTTCTTGGTGAAACCTTTAGCTTTTACTTACCCATTCTTTGAGCGAGGATTGTTGGTACATGTCTTTTATAATCAATTGATTATGAGATTTATTGATTAGCATTAAATTTTCTTGTTAAAAAAGAAGATTTGCATCGTTTATAAGTTAAATTGGTATGCCATGCAAGTGGTTTCATTGACTTGATGGTAAAATAGGATCTTGCCATTACTGCCTCTAGAAGTACCAATGGTGATGTAGGGTTTAAAGTGATGGTGGTTTTTTCTGCTGGATTATACAGATTTAGGATTAGCAGGGAAACACCAGGTGTATGAGATGATAATACTATAGTATGAGTTCTGATATTAGAGACCACAGGCTCAGGTTGAGTGTTCTCAGTGTAATGATGTTTTTTTCTTGTAAGCCATATCTTAATGGATTTCTCTCTTTTGTTGATGTTAAGGCTTGCCAAACCACATTAAATTTCATTGCTTCTAGTGTGGCTGTTTTCTTTAGTACACTAAGGTTTTATAGCACAACTTTTTTAGATGCATCAATTCACTTTAACATGAGTTTTGATATTAGAGACCATAGGCTCAGGTTGAGTGTTCTCAGTGTAATGATGTTTGTTTCTTGTAAGCCATATGGATTTCTCTCTTTTGTTGATGTTAGTAGGTTTGCTGAACCACATTAAATTTCATTGCTTCTAGTGTGGCTGTGTTTTTTTTAGTACTAAGGTTTTATAACACAACTTTTTTAGACGCAACAATTCACTTTATTAAGGATGGTTAGTGGAGTTGAGATGCGAAAAAAGAAATTAGAAAATAATTTATTTCACCCTATATTTAAACCTATTTAAATACTTTATCACAGACCTTTGATAAGAAACAAATTTTGCTTTAAGAACTTTGGATTCATTTACATTAGACTAAATAAGAAAATAGTGGTAGTTTAGATATGAGATGGAGATTTTTTACTTTGTGAAGTTCTAATGGCGTTTCTAAGACTACAAAAGGTCAATTAATGATAATGGAAATCAATCACAATGAACATTGAATAAATAAATTTTGTTCTTTCCTGCATGCCCAAGTGCGTGTCCTTTGGTTATAAAAATTTATCAATGCTTGTGAGTCATGAAAATTAGAATGAGAAGAGAGGAGAGTAGAAAATGAGAGATTTTATGATTGAATTTTATTTTCTTGTTTTATCTTAAAATAAGACAAGAAGCTATACAAAAAATAGATGGAGAAACAACTATTTAAGAGAAAAAAAAATCTATCATTCTTTTATTCTAGATTTCAGAATTAAATACATCTAAAAAATTGTATGTTGTTGCCCATGAATTACTAGATTGTTATAGATGAAAAGTTAGACTCCATGTAGTGGGTCAAAGACTTGATGTTGTTGTTGTAGATGAAAAGGTGCTATTTACATATTGCTAAATTTATATAAATGGAAAGTTGCTATGCACCGATAGTTGGGTTTAGATCATGGTGTTAAATATTTAAAAATTTGACCCCTCTTCATTATAGGTTGCAAATGAACCAAGCGTTAAATGAGCTACTTATGGCTCGGCTCGACTAGAGCTCGTTCATGTTCGTTTGATAAGGTAAATGAACGATCTTTAACTCTTTTGATAAATACTCGATAGCTAAATAAACGAGCTTGAACAGCTTGACGTTCGGTTCGTTTATGTTCATAAATAATATTGTTTAACGCTTGAGAACAAGCTCGTTAAAAGGCTCGATTTGTGCTCGACTAAAGAGCTCTTGATTAGAGTTTTGAAAATAAATTTTATTAAATTAATTTTACTGATTTAAATATTTAATAATTTATTTTTAAATTCCCACTCCATTTTCCTCTCCCATTGTTCGCTAGCTCCCGTCTCAGCTCTTGTTTCCGCTCTCCATTGTGTCCGCTCCCGCTCATTATTATAAAAAAAAACTGTTAGTTTACTCCCACACTGTGAAATGTAGCAGGATTTTCCTCTATATAATGAAGCATAGTGGGCTTTCGTTTGAAAACTGGTGGACGGATGGGTTGGGTCTACTTGGTGGACTGGCTAGCCAATTCGGGCAGACGTTTTCGACAAGCTACTTGATTTTAAAAAAAAATTATTTTGTTAAATGAGCGGCCCATTAATAGGCTCGGCTTATTAAATGAGCCGCTCATTAATAGGCTTGATAAGTTTAAAATGAATCGAGCTCGACCCTGAGCACAAGCTGAGCTTAAACAAGTGCCAAAGAAGCTCGAATCTTATCGAACCGAGCTCAAAAACGGTCTTGGCAAACTAGCTCGAATTCGAACATGCCGAAGCTCAGCTTGGCTCAATTCATTTGCAGCCCTACCTCTTCATATTTTTTTTATTATGAAAACTCAAGTGAGATGGGCTTGATTATCAATGAAGTTAATAAATAATCTAGTTTCAGAGACATTATTGACTTTAGGTGATCCCCACACATAACTATGGATTAAAGCAAAAGGTGGAGAAGGTTTATAATTTTGATTGCAATATGAACTATGATCAATTAGATGATTAAAAGTCTTTTGCATTTTTTTTTGTGAGGGATGATAGAATAACCAAATAGAGACTCTTTTAATTGATAATAGTCGAAGAAAGCAACAAGATACAATTGATCCTCATTTGGAGAGGAGGATCTAGCTTTCCCAATTCTCTAGATGCCGCTAGAGGCCAATTAAAAACTAAGAATTCTCCAAATTTCAAAAACAATAAAATAACCTAATATTACGAAAACATCCTACTCAATGCATAAAATCATAAAGAAATTCTTTGAACAACCCCTCCTTTTAATTTTCCCTCATAAACCACCTAAAACCCTTCCTAATTGACGCATGTTGGACCCCATGTAAAGAGGAGACATCTGTTCGAGCAGAACAGGCGTTTTGCACCTGATAGAGGCAAAGTCGGTCCTTATTGGACTAGCTGGACTGGTGTAATAATACTCTCCTCCCAAAGACCCATTTTGTCCGCAAGGTGGAAAAACGACACCCTCCTCCATTCCCTTATCATCACAAATAGTGAGAACCTAAAGATTTATGTCATTTCATCTGTGCTTCGGTGTATACCTCTCCTAACATCTAAAACACAACCCTTTCGCCCTCTTCTCCTATAGTTCCATCTCTGTGAGTTTCTTGAAGTTTTCCTCTGGTCTTCCTCCCATAGTTCTCTCTTTCGGTGTCTCCTTAAGAGTACTCGGCGTCGACTCTTTTGATGCCAAAAAGGTAGTGGTCATTCTGCACGAACCGCATGAGCTTCTGCCTCCAAACCCTCTCTTTAGGTGCCTCTGATTCTCCACTAATTGAACTAGCTCCATAGCCTCTCCCAAATCATGAGGTCTCATCACTCGAATTACCGCTCTAATCTCTGGTTTGAGCCCTTTCAAAAGTTTCCATGCAGTACAATCTCAGGAAGCTGGTCAAGTAGGTTGGTCAAGTGCTGAAACTGTTCACGGTACTCCACAACTGTCCCCTCCTGCGTTAGGGCGAAGAACTGCTCATAGAAGTTCCCTCCCCTGCTGGTTCGGAAATGTTCCAACAAGCGGTCGTTGAACTCCCTACAGGCTCATATGAGTCGCCTCATATCCCTCCACTGGTACCATGCTAAAGCTTTTCCCTTCAAGCACATCCTAGCTGCCATCAGTCTCTTCTCCTCCGTCAACTTATTGACAATAAAGTACATTTTCACGTTTTAGATCCACCCATGAGCATCATCTCACTCAAGAATAAGTATCTTCAGTTTCCTCACCCTCGGACTGCCTGTGTTCCGTTTTATTCCCTCTATAATTTCCCATTCCCTAAGGGGATGGTTCCCCCCAAGTGTTCCAATCATCCTGCCAACATTTCATACCCAACTCTTTCATCAAATTCCCACATTCTTCTTTCAAATTCAACACCCTTTAGATTATATCATAATCAGCCCATCTCCTTTCAAATTCAGTCCATCGTCTTTCAAATATAGCTCCCCTTCAATCATAATTCTCCCTTCCCCTTTTAAATTCCGCCCGTCTCCCCTCCAATTCAGCAATCCTTCGTTCATGCCCGACCTTCTCACATATCTCCCCATACCCTTTACCCGAATCCTCTCTTGGAATATGTTCTAGAGGTGGCATTCTCTCCTCTGCCTCCAGAATCTCCCTCTCTTAATCTTCCCTTCATCTTATTAGATTAGGATTTTCCCCACTCCCTTGGTTGCTGGAGGCTTCCCTCACCTCTGACGATGCTGTTTTAGGTTGGCCATCGAGCAACTTCTTCAACATCTCCTCGAGAATGGAAAATTTCAAATCAAGCTTCTCATGGACAACTGAAATTTCATTTTCTTACATCTGAAACTTGAGTTTGGTGATCCAAAATTTCAGATTTCAGTTGTTCGATCTCCCCTTCCAAAATTTCGACCTTTCTCCCAGCTATTGGTAACCAGATCTCTGATATCAATTTGATAGGAAATGGTTGTAGAAAAAGGAAAAGAATCTTGGCTGAATTTGAAATTTAGTTTTATGCAAAAGCTGAAATTAAGAGTAGACGGTGAAATAACAAAATAGAGACTCTTTTAATAGTGGAAGAAAATAACAAGATACAATTGATCCTCAATTGGAGAGGAGGATCTAGCTCTCCCAATTCTTTAGATGCCGCTAGAGCCCAATTAAAACTTAAGAACTCTCTAAATTTCAGAAAACACAAGCTAACCAAATCCTAGGAAAACATTCTACTCAAAACATACAATCATAAATGAATTTTCTAAACAGTCCCTCCTTTGAATTTTCCCTCTTAAACCAACTAAAACCCTTCCTAATTGACGCTTGTAATCATTTAACCTAAAGTTATAATTTTGCATTATCATAAATTGCTTTAACTTGTGGGGGCGAAGGCGCCCCCCCCCCCCCCCCCCCCGCGATAGAAGCAGAGCTGGTCCCTCCTGGACCGACTGAACCGGTCCCTCCTGGGTTGGTCTAACATAATATCTCCTATTATAATCATTTTTGATAGCGACCCATCTGTAATTTGAATAGTATAATTTTCAGGCAAGGGCTATAATTATAGAAAATATTTTTTCTCTCATTATATTATCCGACGCTCCAGAGTCTACAATCCAAGTTTTAGTTTCCGTTTTATATGATATTGGGTGCATGTGAGAATATGCCTTTTTAAGCAACAAACATAATCAATTATTTTAATTTCCCTTAAATTTTGTTTAAGTCAATTATTTTATTATAAATTTCAGCAGCACCCCGATGTCATCACCGCTTATGGGGCTAATCGAGTGTGCTAAGTCTTTCCGCATGCTAATAAAAGCAGTTATGGTATGTGTTAGGTGACACCGCAACCGAAATTTCATTCCCTGCTCGTTAATAAAAGCGATTATGGATCTTGAAGTACTTGTTAATAAAACATAACATTTCCCCGACTTAGATGCGCGGCAGAAGCGGTGATGGCAAATGACGGCGACAATGATGCACAAGGCCTTGGATGGCGGCAACAGGAGGAGGTCGGTGGTGGAAATCGAGAGGTAGAGTGAGTTTGGCTCTCTTGTGTGCAAAATTTAAATTTTTGCCGATCAAAGACCCCTATAAATATGGGTGTTGATCTTAGCTATTTATGTTGCCCTGGACTAGCTGGCGCTGTCCGTTTTCGCGAATGGATGCCATTTCGACGATTTGGGTTTTTGTTCGACACACGTAGGGAGAGTTACGCATGACGTCGCGCTATTTTGCTTTCAAAATTCACCATACGCGGTCGACCCGACGTCGACACTGGTATTGAGGTCAACACACCTCAAGAGCATTTGTCAGTAGCGGATGATTAATTTATGCAAGTTAACAATTATTGAGACTTGATTCTAAAAATTTCTTGAGTATTAATCCTAACGATGGGAGAATAAAGAGAGTAACAAAAAAGTGCATCAATTCTCTGTAACAAATCTTCAGAATTTTGTATGGATTGGCGTCATAATTTATATGACCATACTTAACCAGATTAACAAAATCCATGTATTAAACATAAATTTTTGAAAACTCACATATAGGAAAACAATATTCTGTATCTATTTTAATTTTCTTAACATTAAAAGTTGAACGAAATTAAAGCCTGAACTAAATGTGGAAACTATTGTGCCTCTTAACACTGCTGAAACAGTCGTGATGGGACTAAAACCAAAAATAAATCAAGTGAAAGAACTCTACATGTCTCAGCCTACTATTGCGTTGCATGCTTTTATTTTTTGGTTAACTCGCCCATATTTGCTTATTGTTAAAATATCATATGAGTAATTTTTTTGAAAAATCAGGTTCATTTCACTTTTGTCAGTTATATCCAAGATCGACATTCTTTGATGATATATGTGTGTATCAATAATTTGTTTCCATTTTACAAGTGAAAGAACTCTACGTGTCCCTGCTTGCTTTTTTGCCTTCTTTATAAACTAACCCATGCTTCTTTAGTTAAAATGTTATTGACAGATTTCTCGATTGTTAAAGAAAAAATATTAATGTCAAGCTCTATAGAATTTTCACATTTTATTGTTTTGTTATTGACCAGGCGGTTGTGAAGCGCTTGGATCTTTATGGAAAGCTGCATGGTCATAAGGGGTGTGTCAACAATGTACATTTTAGCCCCAGCGGTGATATTCTCGTGTCTGGTTCAGATGACAAAGACATCATATTTTGGAACTGGTCAAACAAAAGTAAAATTCTTACATATTGTTCGGGTCATAACGAAAATGTCTTCCATGCTCAAATCATGCCATATACTGATGATAGAATTGTTGTGACATCCGCTGCTGATGGCCAGGTATGCCTTTTTTGGTAGCCTTTATTCATTTTTTTTCTTTACGTTTTATAATCTCTCTTCCGTTCCTCTTCCATTCCTAAAATTGAGTCACCATTCAAATTTTGGTTGACGAATGCATTAATGGAACAAAATAATGTAAGATAGTCTTTAATTTCTGACTTAGGCCTAGTTTGATTGGACGTTTTTTGTGCTTATTCTTTTTTAAAATGGTAAATTTATTTCTTCTTTATTGTTTGGTTCCTCAAACCACGTTCTCAATAACATCATTTTTTTCATTTTTCTGCTATTTTAAGAAAGCTCTTTATATATGCTTCTTCGTTAGAATACTCCTTTCTCTAAACCGTTGTTTCTTAAAATTACCTTTTACAAAAGTACCGGATAACCAAAAGAAGCCTTAGGTTGTTACATTTTCTTCTGAGTGCAAGTATTATTTTGCTTTTATTCTTAGACCTTTGTTTAAACTGCCTTTGTCCAACAGCATTTAGTGTTATTTTTGTGATTGTGTGACTTCTTTTCTATCCATTTAGCAAGGGCTTTTGACTCTTCTTTGTAAATTCACGTTGACATGAATTTATCAATCAAGTTCTTTTTTTTTTGTTGTATTCACGTTGACATGAATTTATCAATTAAGTTAAGAAGAAAAGCTAGATGACTGTATGATTAGTCTATAGATCAACTTCTTGCATATTTTTTAACTGCTTTTCATTATTGTATTTTGAGTTATTACTATTGGTCAAGATAAAGTAGCAGTTTGAGGGAATAAGAAACATTTACAATGCTTATTATAAAGTATATTCCAAGGGATGCTCTAACTAATCATTTGGAACAATTAGATAAAAACATTATGAAAGTTTAGTAGGCCTCGGTAGCTTACTATTGTTGAAGTTTGATTTGGCTCATGGAGTCACAATTGTAAAATTAGCTTGACCAAGATCATTGAGAAAGGAGCAAGTTAAGGATTATGTTAAATTAATAATGGGAAAAGATACCGTTAAGTAGATTGGGTTGCTGAGTAAAGACGAATCCATTCCAGGGGATGCTGTTGGATTGTTCTCTTCTGTCTCTTTTAGATTTCCAGATCCTCTTTGAGAGTATATATAGGTAGCTCTAGGCAATTGATCCTCTAATTGAATCATCCTCTTTGGTAGAACATCCTCTATTTATTAGTGCAAGCAGATACTCCTTATCAGAAAGCATTCTCATCTGCATGACTTCTTAACGACCTAAGTTACCTTGTAATTTCTTGTGCGCGTTGTTAACAATACAAATGTTCTATGTTCGACACATGGAAGTCAGTTTTGGATAGTTGCTAAGGAACCCAAGTTACCTTGTAATTTTTGTTTTAGAATTGAAGGAAATTTACCGTTAGCTTAAAGGAAATGATTTTTTTTAGGGTTGGGGGGTTGGGGGATGGGATGATGAACACTCCTATAAAGATCTCATGATTCTATTACCTAGGTTGTCTTGGACCTGGGTCTTCCTAATCTATGGCTGTAGTTTGTTACTTTGTTCAACTTAATAGAAGAATCCTTGTGCCAACCTTGGGTTATGTCATCCAAGGTAACTTTGTAGAATTAGGATGAATGTATGTTTATGGGGATAATTTTAAGTCACGCTTAACAAGTGCACTTTACGATTCACAATTAAATTGGGCTTGAGTTATTGGGGACCCTTTGAGTTATGGTCGTGGTTGTAATATAATTATATCATTTAATGGTACACTACCCGATATAAGGGCCTTGATTATGACAATTTATTAGTTGTGCTATTTTATGACAAGACTGCCTGATTCAACGACACAAGCCATGTTCTTATTGGCATGGGATTTGTTGAGAGTGATCTTATTGACACCTGATATGGCATTGATTTTTTGTGAGTTGAGATTGATCTTAAAGTTTATTACTCTCATCAAAAGGTTACAGATGATGAATACCTTGTTGTTTTAAATTTGATGTGATATATTTAATTTGAATATTTTTTTTATTTATTTTTGAATTTTTTATAATTATAATTTTTGCCTTAGATAATCTTTGAGATCTTGGGGCTGTGGGCCTCCGAAAGAACACCGCTTAGCGGGGGACAGAATGCAAAGGGTATGATCGCACTATCTCGTAGGACAAAACGGTCGCAGACCTTTGTAATCTTCACAAGCAAGCTGATGGAAGGACATATTATATCATACATACGATTAACCATTGATGATAGCAGCGTTCGCATATGCACCCGATGAGTAATAGTATATATAACCTGATCAAGATCATGAGATTTCTCCCTCTCGATACATCAGCTCGAGTGGGTTTATTTGATGTGGGATTCGATTTCCCACGGGCGCAATCCCCCATAGTTAATTACATCTTAAGCCGATGCCTAAGAAGACTCTCGATTAAGGATTGTACATTATTCTCTCAGATGGGATTGATACATAGGGAGGCGTTTAGGAAATTCCTATTCAAAGGGAAAGAAATGTTCAATTTGGCTTAAGCAACATGCACGGCTCATATCATTATCCGAAAAGACTAAGGTAGTAAAAAGAAACTTGTGAAAAGGTAATACTGTACTCAGAGCATGCCAGAGAGAAAGATGGAGGTGGCGTCATCCATGTGACGCGGATAGGTGGGATTTATAGCCTCTAAAGGATAGAGGACTTACCCGCCGATGAGGCATACTATAGGATACCGATAGTAGTAGCCTTAAATCCTAAATGTGTAGTGGGTTTAGTGTTTTACACACAACACTAGTACCCGTGTCTTAGCTAATGCATCTTGGACTTACTTATATCTTGCCTTAAAAGGAAAGCCACCAAATCACCTAGTCGTATAAAATCCATGTTATTCGGTCTTTATGAAATATGAGTGGGTGGCTGAGTTTTTGAAACTTAAGGCCTACATCTAGAGCGGTTCCTATGTGGCCTTGTACTTATGAAGGGTATTTTGCTTCTAAAATTAATGCAATTAAATTTTGATTTTTAGTTAGCTTCTAATGCAATGTATGCTAGTTAAAATCTGCAAATCATGAATGCATGAAATTTAAAAAAAAATTATAAAAATAATTTTTTAGAAGACTAGATTTCTCATGGTTCAACACCTCAACGTCATAGGTCAGATTCATGGTTTAAAATTGCGCAATACGAGGCTCGCCTTGAGGCTCGCATTTTTCAATTCCAGTAAAAAACGCCTCGATGCTTACGCATCGAGTTTTTTTATGAGGCTTGCGCCTCAACTTGGTTGAGGCCTGCCTTGAGGCCCGCCTCGCCTCACTGGCATGAGGCTTACACCTCACTGGCATGAGGCTTACGCCTCACACTATATATATTAAAACTTACATAAATCTTGAAGTAAATGCCTGACATTGGATTCTATAGGAGAGGAGGAAGGGGAGAGAGCAGTTCATCATAATGATGATTCAAATGAAGAACCCCCTTAGTGATGACAGTACTGATGACTTATGAGTTCTTTTGTGATATGTCATTGCTATTTATTTTTGAAAATTGAAATTATATTTAATGAAAAGAATACTGAGATTTGGGAAAGATTGAATTTTGAGTTGAACTATATTTCATGTTGTCTTATTATTGTGATATTTTGATTTCACTTCATTTGTTATGTTTTTTAATGTTTTATATTATTCACTCATTAGTATAAAAAAAATTATCATTTTATGTTTACGCAATCTTTTGATTTTGAGGCTTACGCCTCAAAACGCCTTGAGGCTTACGCCTCGCCTCACGAATGAAAAATGCCTCAATTCTCGAATACGCAATTTTAAATATTGGTCTGATTATCTGAACTCTACCCACAGGCGGGGAAGCGTCTAAACAAGGAAAGAATAATCCATTAAGATGCATGCAACCCTGGAAGATATCCAGTTTATTCCCTAGATTGTTATCTTTTTATATTATTTAATTCCTAACATATTAAATTTTAATTATGAGTAGAAAAGTTATCTCTAAAGAGCCTAACAAAAACAGACGCATACACATGCAAGAAAGAAACTTATAAATAGAAGATAATTTCTACTACGCAAACAAAGCAAAACACATCAATAAAATATCAATCAAAGTAAAATAGTTAAAAAATCCATGGCAAGTGCCATATAATATACAATCCAGGGTCTGCAGAAAAGTAATGATGGTTAGGCCCAATGTCAATAAAATATCAATCAAAGTAAAATAGTCGAAAAGTCCATGACAAGTGCCATATAATATACAATTCAGGGTCTGTAGAAAAGTAATGATGGCCAGGCCCCACCGATAGCATCCCGGGTTTTAATCTTACAAAATGACGCAAGTATTAAAAAAATAAGGCATTTAATCTTGATCTTCGTCTTCTGGTCATTTTATGAATCGCCTTCCTTCAGCCTTCTTATGGTTTGTCCTCCATAGGATACCCAAATGAAAAGAAATTCCCTATAAAGAGACTTTCTTTTTTCTTTGGATATCTGATATTTTATTGAAATACCTCATTTTTTATAGACTTTCATAATTCTTTACTTCAAATACATTACATCAGAAAAAGAAAAATTTAGACTCTTCTGCAGGGTTATCCTAAATAGTTAAAATAAAACATCCCAAACAGTTATATATAGAAATAAAAAGTACTCATGCCAGTCACACTTGGCAATGCTTTTATTTATTTGAGGACTAAGCAGCTGAAGCACTTGTAACAATTATATACATGATTTATTCATTTTAGCCCCCTTTTTAGCACTGCATCAGCATGACCATCTGCAGAAAACATCATTAGTCGTAAGATCGCCCTTAACCTATGAGTAATCTATTGCACATCACATCATAAAAATAATACAACAATTAAAATCATTATCACATAAATTGTCACAAAAACTTGAAGCAACTAGCACACGTGCCACATGCAAAGCGTCGTATCACAGTAACAGAAAGAAAACACCGGCCTAGCATAGAGCTATAAATTGTGTTCTAACAAATAATTCTATGTGTGTGCAGTAGGCTGTGTGGTCTTGGATATGTCTTATGTTGGATAATT